GCCTTTTCCAAGTCCATGAACGCACAAAAAACTTTCTGGTTTTTAGCCAAAAACTTCTCCGCTATCATGCGCATGGAAAAGACTTGATCCGTACACCCCATCCCCTTTCTAAATCCAGCTTGCACATCCCAAATTTTTCCATCAGTCTCTTCCATAACTCTTTCAATTAACACCTTAGCATACAGTTTACCCACAATGCTAAGCAAGCTGATACCACGGTAGTTTTTACAGTCCTGCTGCGACCCCTTTCCCTTATATATTGGGACTATAACGGCTTTTCACCAGTCTTCCGGTACCCGTTTCAGTTCCCAACATAAATTAAACAAGGTGTGCAGCAGGCCCGCAACCACACCCTCACCAGCCCTCAGCATTTCGAGTGATACTCTATCATATCCGGCTGCCTTACCTGCTTTCATGCTTTTCATTGCTTTCATTATTTCATCTACACTTATCTCCCTACCTCTCTCCACTTCTTCCGGAATTTCTATTTCACCTATTCCAGACGACTCTTCACTCTTAAACACGCTTTCAAAGTATTCCTTCCATCTCTTTAAATTCGAAACTTCATCATTCAGCATGCAGCCATTCTCGTCTCGTATAGCATTTATTCCAGGCTGTTTTGAATTTCCCCTGGCAGTTCTTACGAGCTTCCAGAACATTTTAATATTTGCCTGGAAGTTATCAGATATCCTTCTATCATTCTTATCTATCCTTTCTTGCTTTTTCCTTTCAACAACTTCTTTTACTCTCTTATTTATACGTCTAAAGTCTGCCTTTTTTCTTTCAACCTCATCATTCATACCGCCAGAATTACCAGCTTTAGTTGCTAGTAAATCTAGCCATGCTCTCTTCTTTGCTTCAACTTCCATCCGTACCTCATCATCCCACCACAACGTATTACTTTTCCTTTCATTCGTTCTCTTACTTACACCGCATACTTCGGTGGCTGCATCCACCAAAACTTTCTTAATATTATTCCATACATTCTTTAATTCTAAATCATTCATACATAATTCATTCAACCCACTTATATTTTCCCTCAATCTGCATTTATACTTCTCTTTCACACCTTCATCTTGTAACCTCTCTATTCTTATACGCTGTAACGCAGTGGTAGACACCGATGTCCGATGCCGCCAACGTCTGAATAGACCATTAATTCGGCATAAGACCAAGTAATGATCCGTCCCTACGTTGGACCCCCGGTAAACCCTTGTATCTACCACTGCGCTCCTCATTCTTTCATCCACAATTATAAAATCTATCATGCTTCTATCATCCCCTCTTTCCCATGTATACATGTGAATCCTCTTATGGCGAAAGAAAGTGTTCGCCACAAAAAGATTCTTTTCCACACATACGGTGAGCATAAATTATCGCGGTATAAGCCTTCTCAGCGTCGTCGGTAAATTGTATGCGAAAGTGTTGATTGAAAGCATTGTGAATGAAACAGACAAGAAAGTATGGGATGCACAAGCGGGATTTAGAAAGGGAATGGGATGTACGGATCAGGTCTTTTCCTTGCGGTGCATAGCCGAAAAGCATTTGGCTAAAAACAAGAAAGTCTACTGCGCGTTCGTAGATCTAGAAAAGGCCTATGATAGAGTGGTGAGGAATGAATTGTGGTCAGCACTGTCCGTGAACGGTGTGAGCAGTATCCTAATACGAGCAATGCAATCTCTTTATAGGGATTCTAGTGCTTGTGTAAGGATAAACGGGGCATACACTGAATGGTTTAATATCGAAAAAGGTGTTAGACAGGGATGTGTAGCGTCACCGTGGCTGTTTAATCTGTTCATGGACAATTGTTTGACAGATTTAAAAGAGAATGAAAGTGGGTTGAGAATGAATGAGTTACTCGTCAAATGTTTTCTCTATGCTGATGACCAAGTATTACTTGCGTCTTCGGCCGAGGAGTTGCAGGAGATGGTAACTGCTATGAATGGAGCTTTTGTTAGAAAGGGAATGAAGATGAATGTAAGGAAGACGAAAGTGATGGTGTTTGAAAAAGATGAGGCAGTGACAGACTGCAACATTGTGATTGAAGATGAACAAATTGAACAGGTGAAAGAGTTTGTGTATCTGGGTTCAAAGTTTACAAGAGATGGAAAGTGTGAGAGTGATATCGAAAGAAGAGTGAATGCAGGAAACATGGTGAATGGAGCTTTGCACTCCTTTATGAGCAGTCGGAAGGTGTCTAACAAGGCTCGTTTGGCTGTGCATGAGGGGGTGTTGGTTCCGACACTCATGTACGGAAGTGAAACTTGGGTATGGCAGAAGAAACATGAAAGCAGAATAAATGCAGTTGAGATGAGAGCATTAAGAAGTATGATAGGAGTTAAACTGAGTGACAGGCTAAGAAATAGTGAGATAAGGAAACGTTGTGGTCTGAAAGAAGATGTAGTGACAAAATTTGAGAAAGGTATGCTGAGATGGTTTGGCCATGTCGAGAGAATGAATGAAGAACGATTGACGAAAAAAGTGTATAAGGCGAGTGTGAATGAAAGTGTTGGTAGACCTAGGCGGACATTTCTAGACCAAATCAGGGACGTCTTGAAAAAAGGCCAGGTCAAGAGTACCCTAAACCGTAGAGCATGTATGAAGGGAATAATGAAAGTGGACGAAGCAAAACAAGTATGTAAGGATCGTAGCAAGTGGAAAGAACTGGTCTCTGCCTACCCCTACGGCAAAGAGGCGTGATTATATGTATGTATGTATTTTTGTGACTCCATTCAACTACCTACTTGGTCGTATCTTGCTGAAGGCAACGACAATCATCCTCACACTTGATAGCTAAAAGCAACTTTAGGTCGTCTGCAAATAATAGACATTTAGACTCTCTTACTACTTCGGGTAAATCATTAATCTTTATGTTGAACTCTAACGGCCCTAAATTACTGCCTTGGCTCACACCAGACCTAGTAAAATAAGGCTCCGACCGGTACCCACCGTACTCGACATACTGTTTTCTATCCCTCATGTAACTCGCAAAAATGAAGCAGTTTAGATGTGCAGCCAAGTTTCGCCATCTTTGACAGTAGGATAGCCTTATCTACCAAATCGAACGCTTTTCTAAAATCAAAGTAGCCGGCATCTACCTGCAACCCTGGATCGATATGAGGAACCAAATACGTCATGGCATTTAAGAGGTTACTGGTCGTGCTCCTCTCCGGAAGCCGTGTTGGGCGTCCTATAACTGCGGTACAATTTGTTCCTGTACACTTTGCTGGATGGCGCCCTCAAACACCTTCGCAGGTGTTAAAAAATCGCCACTGGTCTCAAGGATTCAACCGTAGGTTTGTTACTCCCCTAAGGTATCGGAATAACACGCGTGAATTTCCAACTTTCTGGAAAATATGAACTCTTTAGACACAAGTTGAAAATGTGTAAGAATGGTTCCACCAGTACTGAGCAGCAGTACGCATCACAAACGCCGGCATACCGTCCGGGCCCGCCGAGCGCTGCGGCTTGATCCGGGCGAGCTGCGGCTGCGGCACGTCACGCGCCGCCCGCCGCCACCGCCTCGCCCACGTCCAGACGCGCTGGCTCGCCTCGCTGCTCTACACTGACTACAAGTATTTGGCAAATTCACTCGCACTTTCTTGTTCCGACAATGCTACTATATCTTTCAATATTTGTTTACGTTTAACGTTCACTTTTTTGCCCTAATATGAACCCAAAAAGACTTGTAACTTTTGCCAAGTTACTTTGCACACGATTCTGATAGTTTAGGTATGCGCTATCAATATTTTTCTTAATTCGCGCCCTGCAAGTAGAAAAAGCTTCGTAATCAGCACGAGATCCGGTCGATTTATATCGCTTATGAAGCTTAGCCTTTATTTTTATACCTATATTTTAGCTATATTTGTTTTGCAAAAGAGAGCCGTTCGGGCGATTTATAACCTAAATTGTAAAGAGTCCCTCAGACAAAAATTTAAAGAAATAAACATATTAACTTTGGCATCGCAATATATTTATGAAAATGTAATGTATGTACATAAAAACATAAATAGCTTTAATAAGAATAAGGATGTGCATACTTTAAACACTAGGAACAAACATAAGCTTGTAATATCAGTTACTGGACTCCACAGAATCAGTAATTCATTTATGGGGCAATGTATACGCTTTTACAACAAAATCCCAGAACATATTCAAAGTTTATCAATAAACAAGTTTAAAAGTTTTATTAAAGAAAAACTGTACAAAAAGGGTTATTATAATATCAAGGAATACATGAATGAAAATAACCCCTGGGAATAAGGTGATCGCCACCATGCTGGTTCTATGAAAATTCATTTAAATTGTATAAACAAAATTATTGTTAAGTGAAATTATGTTAAAAAAAAGTCCCGCTGGGTTTCTTGCTGGTTCTTCCCAGGACAGAGGTATTTTCCGAACCAGTGGTAAATAAAAAATGACTTTCAATAAGTATTATGTAATAATCAATATTGAATAAAAATCATTCTATTCTATTATATTCTATTCTATATCACTAATTAAAGTATACCACTCGGAGTAAATATCTTTGATCTACTTTCTTTTCCCGCTTTTTCGGTACACAACTATCTAAAACACCGTAAAAAAACATTACAAAAAACTCCAACGCTTCCTCTGGTTCCTGTGTCTCGTTAATCAAACTCCAATCGGCGGAAGCTAATAAAGAATAAAATAACTAAAAATCAGGTTTATAAAAATTCCATAACAGTTCAATTTGGCTTGCTGATGTCTCATGGTCTAAAGCAACGGGCTCGGCCGCCACAGGTGGCAACGGCGCCCCGCTAGCGCCGAGCTCCAGGGTCAGCGCGAACAGTGGGTGATACGAGTCCAGCGGCACTAACGGCTCGTCAGATTCGCATACTTGTACACCACTTAATCCTAACGAACACAACACTAAGTCTAAGGTGGTCCAACCGAAACGCACGATGTTAATTGTAAATAAAACAAAATGTTTTCATAGAATTATCTATATTTTATTATGATAGAAGGATCTATGACAATTATGTGTGAAACAAAATATCGGCCAAATGCTCGCCACGGCGTCGGTGGCATACTTCTATCCGATGGTACATATTTGCAATGACTCTGAGACATAGAGGTTCAATGTCGCTAATGTGCCGAATTATCTCATCCTTTAGCTCTTGAATTGTTTTTAGCTTATTGATGTACACTTTTTCTTTTAAATATCCCCAAAGAAAGAAGTCCAATGGTGTCAAATCACATGATCGTGGCGGCCAATTAACATCGTTACGATGTGAAATAACACGGCCATTGAATTTTTTTATTTTTTTAGAACAGCCATTGTTTCGTTGGCTGTGTGGCAGGTGGCACCATACTGTTGAAACCACATATCGTCCAGGACCATATCCTCAATTTCTGGCCACAAAAAGTCCGTTATCATCTCACGATAGCGAACATCATTCACGGTAACTGCTTGGCCGACCTCATTTTCGAAGAAGTATGGTTCGATGACACCGCCAGCCCATAAACCGCACCATACAGTTACTCTTTGTGGATGCATCGGCTTTTCAACAAACACTCGTGGATTCTCGTTTGCCCAAATGCGGCAATTCTGCTTGTTAACGAATCCACTGAGGTCAAAGTGGGCCTCGTTGCTGAAGATGATTTTCTTTGTAAAGTCACCATTCACTTATGTCTGTTCAATCAACCGTTTGGCGTATTGACGATGCTTGAAATGGTCAGTAGGTTTTAGCTATTGAGTCAATTAAACCTTGTAAGCGTGTAAATTCAAATCTTTACTCAAAATTCGCATCAGTGATGTTCGTGAGGTATTCAATTGTTGGGCACGACGACGAGTCGAGGTTGACGGCTCTTCTGCCACACTATCGCGAAGAACAGCAATGTTCTCCGCAGAACGAACTGGGCGAGCATGCACAGGTGTCTTCACATTTCCTACACACCCGGTTTGTTGAAATTTGCGCACAATTGTCACGATTGTGGACACATTGTGGATTCTAACAGTGGTAGAGTCACGCGGCAGCTTTTTCTGTCGCACGGATGGGCCGGCTCAAACCGGGGTGGTACCACGACCTCACAGAATACCAGCGTGAAGTAAAGGTTTACCTCTGCGTTTCGCTTGGTGAGTGCAGGTGGCCGGAGGCCCTTTTTACTGGAAATGAGGCGTTCCATCTTAGTCCTGACGGGTGACAACGCATCTACATTTTGATTCGTAACAGAGGATAGATGTAGATGTCTATGGGCCGCAGCAACCACTTACCATCAGGTGGACTGTGTGCTCGTTTGTCACCCTTATCCTATAAAATAAAATAAAATACATTTGGTCGATTAAGCTGACCAAAAAATCTCGAAGTGCACGAAGTGCATTTTGATTTGAACGCTCATTTTCGTAAAAGGCTTCAACAGTCTTAACACGCTGCTCAATTGTGTACCTCTCCATCGTTGGAAAACCTTCAAGTCTCAGACTTAAATAAAAAGAAAACATGTGAAAACATGAAAGACATGCGAAGTCCTTTAAAGGCACTATAGGTCTTTAGTTATATTAATATTTATCCATGTTACTCACATCTGTACTGTACATCTTTATACATGACTGTTTGTTGCCTTAAGTAAATAAAAAAAAAGAAGTCCGCCAACGCAACATATTGGGGCAGCGCCGTAGACAGTTCCTCGCCAAACAGGTGGTTTTATGAAAAGAGAGGGGGCTGTATCCAGGAGTGAGACGTGCAAGACTTTACTGTAATAAGATATACCAGCATATATTAGCAATATCTTTTGGTTAGTTTATTAAGCCACCATTACACCATACGATTGTGGTGTTTGAACATGGAAGTAAGAGGGGAGACTTCTCGCTGCACATAATTGTGTTCATAAACATATTACACGCCAATCGCTTTTATAATATTATTGTCATGTATTACAGTATATTATGTATTATTAACTACCCAATCATTAACGCTTTAATGGGTAATGATATAAGGCATTTCTAAGTGCTTCCGGATACAATTAAGTTTTATGAAAATGTAATAGAAGCTATTAAAGAATATCGTTAGTAAAAATAAAATTTAAGTAATTATTATATAGTTTTTAGCAAAATGTATCTACAATTCTCCTGGTGTTGCAGTTGGTTAAAAGCGGCGGTAGTCATTTACCAGGTGAGGCGCATGCGCCTTTGCCAAGTCTTCTATAAAATAAATGACCCAAATATTGACACCTGCTTCCCAATAATCATCGCTACAAATTACAATACTATATTGACACCTATTAAATTCAAGTACAACTATTGCATTTGAGATTTAATGAGAAAGTAGATAAATTAACATTTAAGTATTCTAAAAACCAGCTAACGGTAATAAAAAAATCATCGTATCACCATATAATTAAGTATAATGATGGAACAGTTAGCAAAAATTTAAATTTAAATTATCAAAAGCCCGCTGCTGAACATAGACCTCTCCCATAAAGATCGCCTTACAGGGGGGATATATGGCACAGGTTCTATGCTTGGCAGATGGGTTGGCAAGCACAGTTTTGCATTATTAATTTGGATTGTCAGTAGCAAGATACTGCACTCGTCTCCTGCTTCATGTCCCTCTGACATCCACGTGATGATAAGATCTTATGCCTTATGCCGCCACGGTTGCGGTACTTTTTAATTAACTATATATATACAACATGTAATAAAAACCCTGTGGTTTCCGTTAAGTACGTTATCAGGATCAGTATCCAAATTTATAGAAATATCTTTTTTTTTTAAAACTCGACCATATTTTTTTTTTTGATTTTATTAAAAAAATAGTTTTATGTGGTTTTATTACCTCTTACTGACACTAGCCGATGCCAAAGCTAAGTAAAGCGAGGTCTTTGACAATCATCTTACTCCCTAGACAATACAGAGGTAATAAAACCACAAAAAATTTGCATACAATTTTTTTTTCAATAAAAAAAATATTGTTCCAGATTTTAAAATAAAGTTATTTCTTAGGTTTGAATACTGATCCTGATAACGTACTTAACATCGTTAACAACGTTACATATTGTGTGTATATATATCTATTATACTTTGTAGGAGCGCCACAAAGTTATGTTTTGTTCCGGCCTATGAAGCATGGCTTCACCACCGCTCCAGCACAGATTTTGTCAAGCCAAGTGGCTTAAAAGCGGATACATCCGCATGCATAGCAGCCTCGTGTAGATGAGATAAATCACACAGTATGTTTTCAAGTCACAAGCACAGAGTATATATTATCACATCATGACATAATATTATGATATTGCATGCCTTAAGCGAAAGCGCAAGGTATGTTCTACTATCGCCTTAAAATTTAGATTCCAACGTTTTATCGCATGAAATTGTATTTAATTCTATGCATAAGTCACTTACTGCATACGCCAAGTGCGTTTTATGCCCATCAGTAAAGATATTTCTCTGCGTACCCCTCTGGGTAAACGCCATGATAGTTAACGTTGTGTTTTGTTTTAAGAGAAAAAGTTCTTTATCTAAGTTTCATTTCTAACAAGCCCAATGGTTAAAATAGTCATCTAAAACCAGACTGCGTAAAAAGTTTAATGAAAAGAGAAAAATTTAATACCCATTTTCACAACTAACAGGAATCTAACGATACCCTAAATGTTAAATTTCATAAAGCCGTTAAGGCTACAGAGCGTACCAACGAAATAGATATACGTACATTAACTCGAAAAACATTTCTCTCTTCCTGGGGCAGCCGGGTAAAAAAAGGAATGACGGGCTTAGCTAAGCGTTTGGTAACCCTACTGAAATCATTGCAATAACCGCCCATTCTCCTTTCCCCTTAGGGCAAGTGACCTGCGACCACCTGCGACCATCCACCCTCGGTCACCCTCTGCTTGCCGCTGTCCGTGTACGCCGAAGCGACCTGTGCATTCAGTTTCAAGCGTATCGTTGACGGTAGTACACCACACTCCGTGGCTCGCCGTTTGAAACGCGTACGTAACGAGTGACTTGTGAAGTTTACTTAACTTAAACTTAGTTTAATGTGAACATTTTGTAAACTCCCGTTTTGTTTTGCTAAGTTTTAAGTTGTGTTGTGACGTTTTTTGGTGTTTTCTAAGAAATAACGATTATATTTGAGAACGATAAGTAAGTATTTTTAATTCAATTTAGTACCATATTTCATATTAATATTAAAGGGAAACCTAATTCCTTTTTTAAATTACAGGCAGAGGTAACTTAACAGTTTTTAATTATAATTTTAACTATATTATAGACAAAAGTATACAAATTAAGCAATGTTTTTAACGTAATTATCAAGTGTTTCATACGGATGAATTTTAATAATAATTTTGATACGCATCGCAGCTTACGAACTACTATTTTACAACGATTTTTGAACCGTTACATCTTAGCGGTTAGTTTAAAAAGATTCACCTTAAATAATAGCAAACATTTAGCAGTGCATTGCTTAGGCTTGGCCTTACTAAGTTGGAAGAGTTTGTTTTGAGCAACTCGAACCGGAGTTATTACTGCTAACGGTGCATTCCATCTTAGCCTATAAAACTCCACTGCTGAACATAGGCCTCCCACAGATTGCCTCATTGGGAGTATTTTGCCATAGTTGCCACGCTTGGCAAGTGGATTGGACAGGTGAAGATGCTGCTGCCATCTCCTGTTCCAGTTTCACTCTGTCGTCTCTTCGACACCCACCGAACGATCCAGGGTAGTGGATATTTTTATACCACCACTACATGGTAACCGATATGCACCAGAGCTCACAGGTGGAATATGTACGTTTAGATAAAACTTCTAGAACAGCATTATTGCTCATGTACTGTTCGAGGAATATCTCAATCATCGCTAACTTTCCATCAATATTTCAACATCTTGGAAGATCATAAGGTTTTCTAGTTTTAATTGTAGTCATTAGTCATATTTAAGTCGTAGAGCCACGCTGCGGCTATATTATTGTTGTAACATGAATGGGTCGGCTCGATCGAGGTAAGACCACGCTCTCACATAATACCGGCGTAAAATAGCTCAATTATGCTGTGTTTCGTATGGTGTGTGTAGAGAACCGGAGACCCTTTTTACTAGAATAGAGGCATTCAGCTTAGTCCTCAGGGGTGACAACGCATCTGTATTTTAATGCTTAGTTGAGGATAGATGTAGACGTCTATGGGCCACAGCAACCACTTACCATGAGGTGGACTGTGTGCTCGGTTGTCACCCTTATTCTATAAAAAAAGTCAACGTACGTCACAATCAGACGGCTAAAGCTTTGGAAAAACTTCAACGAGCAAAGTCCCGCTTGTGTGTACTCAAGCAGGGCTTGCGAGTGACGCTCCAGTGACGACGCCATGACGCGTCTTCTGCATAATAAAAAACTATGAGGCAGCTGGACTGACTTTCCCAAATATCGCAATTCATATCTTGCTCACTCAGTGAAATGTAATATGTATGGTAGTACACACCATGATAATTTCTTATGTTTATGCGAACATTTAAATAAAACTAGTGTTCATGCATTTATCGTGTATTTTAACTTATTTCATTTTTTTTATAGAATAAGGGTGACAAACGAGCACATAGTCCACCTGCTGGTAAATGGTTGCTGTGACCCATAGACATCAACCTCTATCCTCGATTACGAATTAAAATGCAGATGCGATTTCACCAGTGAGGACTAAGATGGAATGCCTCGGTTCCAGTAAAAATGGTCTCTGTTTATCTACACTCACCATACGAAACAGCATTTTCAATCTGCTATTTTACTCTGGTACTCTGTGAGAGCGTGGTCCTACGAAACATTATGTGTTACCTCAAATCTTTTTTAAAGTGAATCGATTTTGATGATTCTTTTTTTTTAATTGAAAACTATTGCTTGTCATATGATCCCATTGAAGTCGGTTGTACAAAATTTTTAATTTTACTACTTGTGGTTTAGTACAAAATGAAAAGTGACCAATGAAAAGTTAATTATACATACTACTGATATAGCTGCAGCATGGCTCTACCATGTATAAATGTACCCATTTGTTTAACTTTCTTCCATAAGACATTTGTATATTAAAATTATTTATTTAAAGGAATGAACTTTCCTTTCCTTCAAAAGTAATGAGCGTTTTGAGTTGGTGAAGGAATCAGTTAAATGTTGACTCTTGTTTTAAATCAAGTCTGACGGACTGACAGAGCGGATAGTGGTTATAGGTGTTTTCTAAAGAATGGAAACGAAATTATGCAAAAACAAAATAAAATCTATCAAAACGTAAGTAACTCCATTAAAACAATGAGCTTTTCATTGTCTACCTATGTTATTAATTGTTATCTACTTCGTCATTGTTTATTTTTTACTAGCTCCAACACCCGCATCTTCGTTCGCCTGGTATAGACCAACACTGAAAATTATCCCACGTGGACCTTTTTTCGGGATGAAAGTATCCTATGTCCTACGCAGGTTGAGCTCTGTCCGTGTGCATAACTTCATCCAAATCCATCCAATATTTTTT